TAAATTTCTATATATTTTATTTGTTTTAATTTTCCTCTTTGTTGTTAGTTTTTCTAGTCTTGATTTTGTTCCTTTCTACTTTTCTTTATTTCTCCTTCTTGTTATTCTTTATTTCTTTTTATTTGTCCACTCTATTTCTCTCCTAATATTCTAGTTTTCTTTTATTTGTAAAGAACCATTCACTCTCTTTATCTCTACACATTTCACCACTAATCGTCTACACACAACTCTAGGATCCAATTTAGAATATTTTCTACACACCTTTCTCTAGGGTCGACAATTAAACTATACTATAACTTGATTGTGCATTTTCAAGCTCAATACTATTTCTATAACACATTAAGTTTTTGACGTCGTTGCTGAGGAGGATGCTTATAATTAGGATTTTTCTATTTTGATTCTTTGATTTGTGCGCTATCTTGTGAATGAAAAACTTTAAAGCTTGAAGATTGAGGATTGATGATTGAAGATTTGCTTTGCTTTAAAAGGTAAATTTTGTTTCTAGTATTTTTAATTCCACCCTCTAGTTTATTTCTAAAATTGGAAATAATTAGGATATAAAAAAAATTCTCTTATCAACCCTAATAAAATCCACCATCCACTTGAACGATTACTAACAAGATAATAAATTCAAACAAAAGCTCTCTTTCTCACATTTGTTTAATGTTAATCCTAATTAAAAAAATAAAAAGGTTTTTCTTTTTGCATTTCTTAATTTGTAGTTACTTTTAATTTCTAGGATTGCATTGTATGTAGTAGTAGAAATTCATCAAAGTGATTTTAGTACTCACTTGAAAATACTCTTAAGGGCAATACCTTCTAATCAAGATAATGTGAAGGATTTCATCACCCTTTTATTAGCCTACGAATTACTAGCTTCTCACTACACAAATCCAAGCCTTTAAATCTCATTAGATATTAGCCCCTAAGTACTTGAGCTTATTAAGTAACAAGAAATCTTTAAGTGAACCGGTTTAAATTTACTTAAATTTGTTCATGTTTAAGGTAAGGTTTAGGGGGTTGCGTAAAGTGGTCTGCAAAGATAGAAGAGAAGGGTAAGGGTTCAAATCTCCAAAAGTCTACAATGTAGAAATTTTGAAAAAAGAATAGAGGTGATGTCGACCAAAGAAAATTTTTCCTAAACTCTAACCTTTAAAGAGAATATGATATGTTATTAAAAAACCATGTATTTGTTAGGATGGTACAAAAGTCATACATAACTTGTAGTACAATAATAATGATATGGTATATTGGTATATTATATAGTATGAAGATAGAAGAGAAAATTAAAGGACAAATCTTCAAAGATAGAAGAGAAGGTTAAGGGGTCAAATCTCCAAAATTCTGCCACCTAGGAATTTTGAAAAAAGACTAGTGGTGATATCGACCAATAATTTTTTTTCCTAAACTCCAACATTTTAAAGAGAATATGATATGATATTAAAAAACCATGTATTTGTTAAGGTGGTACAGAAGTCGTACATAACTTCTTTCTTATCTTTAGCATATCTTCAAAAATATTTATTCTAGTTGTTTGTATTTATCTAATGTGCAACTTCTTTCTTATCTTTAGCAACAAGAAAATGGATTTCCACATGACTTTAATTTGGAGCTTCAATACAATGAAGTACTGACAACAAATCTCGACGATTGTACAAATGAGATGTTGAGTGCTGTGGAGGTGGTTGTGAGAGTTATATATTATTCATCTCCAACTTCATTTTGTCTTTCAGCGACTGTACAATCTGTGTGCGTGAGCAAATGCGCCAGAATGTCTGAATCATGAGCAAATATTTTGGTTCTAGACACCCTGGGTTTAGCAACCCAGTTTGAACCTGTCTAGTAAAAGACCCAATTTTTTGTAGTTTAATTTTAGTCATCAAAATTGGTTTAGTTGTGGACTAGGGATAGTTGGTCCATAACTAAACCAGTTTAGTCCAAAACCATTTTAAAAATCTAATATGACCCCATTATATTGATAGTGAGCTGCCAACCACATCGATCCTTAGGGATTGTTATTCATTTAGGATTGTTGATTTTAACTCACACAACTGTCTATGAATCCAACATTCTTGGATTGGGGATTGGACTCGAATTTTATGGTTAGAGGCCTGGACTGTACGTTGGATTGAAGTTTGATTTTTTGAGCAAAACTCTTCAACTTTTGGTTTGGATTCTTAAAAATTTGGCTTGAATTCATAAACTAAGGGTTAGATTGTTGGACTAAATTTTAAATTCATGGATTATTTGCATTAGTAGCTTCAAATTAAATTATTATGTTAAATAATAATTATTAAAAAATAAATATTAATTTGAAAAACCATCTTCATTTCGCTTAACGAATGACAATAACAAAGCTGCATACATCTTGTAATCCATTTAAATAGTTCTAATGATGCCACATAAAATAAGATAGCTAGTGTTCAAGCGTATAAGTGAAAACAACTAGTGTTAAAGTATACAAAAGAAAGTAACTAGTGTTCAATTATATAAAAACTAATTTGTATATTTAAATATGTAAAAATTAAATATTTTAGAAAATTTTATATCAAATATTTATATGACTAATATTAAATATTTTCATTATTTAATATATTAAGATTTAAATATTATATATTTAATATTTACATATTTAATATATTTCATATCTAAC